TTTTAAGTAGAGAAATGAAGCCAGTTTCCGACGCGTAAAAAAATGAACTTCTAATATCCCATTAATTAATCTAATTACTAGATCCACAAGTTTCTAATAAAATTGTTTCAGGTCAATTTCGTTTTGTTTTGTACATTTGTGGTCATGTAACCCGCGACACGAGTGTCGGAAATTAAAATGGCCTGCATGTCGAATTAGGTTGGGCATCACTGTTGTAACACTACAAAAAATGTCATGAAAACTTTTTTAAAAGCTGAAACAAGGCGTTGTTTTGTAAAGTAATCATAAGAAGTAAAGCGGGGTTTTTTTCAACCCTAATCTATATAACATATAATTTAATGTTTAGATCTAGTTCAATTAATTGAACATCGAAAAAAAGAGCACTCTTGTCACATAATTATTATTTTGCAATTTTTAGATACATAAAAACAAAATCAATATATTTAAATGTACTTAAGTTGACTTTAATCAACAGACATGAATTATTTCGATCTACGATATTCTATTGCTATCTTAATGGAAACTAACAGTAAATGGCTTTATTTATGAATTTGCGTGAATATATAGTTCTATGAGTAATACATACAATCTATACATATATAGATCTGTGAGTTGATCAATCGCGGATAAGAATTTGTTTCCGTTTTCCAGTCTAGATATAATATATATATATATATATATATATAGGTCTGTGCTTTAGACTTTCACTCTATGGCATTAAGTAGCAACAAATGAGCAACCACCGGATATAACTATGCATTTGAAAATTATAGGGTAGTGCATTAAATACCACAAAAAAAAAAAAAAAAAACACTTGAAATTTCAGTTCAATTGTTTTTTAGTTGACAACATATAGAGTCCTTGACATTGGTTAGTTTATCGTGAACATCTCCAAATTGTGTCAAAGGGCATAAAGAATTGTAAAACAGTTTGCCCAGTAAGTCACTACTTACCACGAATTTTGTACTGGGGATTTTCACGATAAACTAACCAATGTCAAGGACGCTTAACTGACCTTTAATATTGCCAACTAAATCAAAGTTACAACCAGAGGAGCTCTTAAAAAATGTAATTCTGCAGTCCTAAAATGTGTCTGTAACTTTAAAAAACAGGTTACCGATACTTCCCTTATCTTGTACACTGGATACACCAAAAGTTTTGCTATTTTTAGGTTTTCTGCATAAAAATCTCCAAAAATAGGTGATAGGTCAAGTACTTACTTAGACTTAGATCCTCCCGCGCCGTTCGGCGAATATGGCTGCAAGCTGTCTCCGCAAAGATCTGTCACTGGCAATGTCTGAAGCCTCCTCCCACCTGGTGTCCACTGTTATAATGTCCTCCATGAAGGTGTGGCGCCTAGTTATACGAGAATAAATTACAACAAAGAAAAAAAATGGGAGGATTAGTGTACAAAGTATATATTTGTTTCGTTAGAAATATTCAAGGTTTAATTTTTAATTTAAAACCTTAAAGAAACCAAAATTACACGTAACTATCAGTGCCGTTGTTACCTATAGGCCGCATAAGCTCTAGCTAACTGCCTCCACTTGCCTAGGGGCCTCCTGAAGTATTGTTTTGTGAAAAAAAAATGCCTTATGTTGATTACAAGGGGCCCCATTTCTCAAATATCTTAGGGGCTTGTTACGTGCGCATCTTAGTGTAAATGTGGAATGGTGCGAATGCGTGTTGAAAGAGGGTGAACAAAGATGGAGGCATAGAAACTAAAGAGTGTTTATAGTGTCCATGAAGATTAAATCAATTATAATCTATGACGTTGACGTTTTGTGTTAATGTATTGTCAAAAGAGTCTCTCTAAATCCTGTTCTGGTAAGTATACTCGCTGGTAAACTAAAAGAACTCTTGGGTTGACATGGCTACCTAGTGAAACTGAAGTGGACAAAATAGAGGGAAAATGTATATTTAAAATGAAGCGTTCATTGAAATGGGTGTTCATGTCTGGAACTATTTGTTTTTATTAAACAGGACCGCGTGACTCTGCAAATGGTGCAAGCCTTGTCTAACAAGCACGGTCTTCAACATCAACATGGTACTGCGTGGCAACTCTTGAATTGTAAGTATGGTACATCAAATCTATGTACATTCTTTGCTTAGAGATTTCTATCCACGACAATCGTTCCCAAACTTGTTCTCTATCGGAACACTTTGCACATTTCTGAGTATTTAGCGGAACAATTTGTTAATTTTTTTTTAGAGAGATTAACTCACGTGGTGGCCTACTAGTATTCCAGTAGTCTGTGGAACACCTAATTTAGGCCCTGCGGAACACTAGGTTTCCACAGAACACTGTTTAGGAAACTCTGATCGATGGAGAAATACCAAGGTAGCCATCTCTCAGTTGAAAAACAAGAAATAATTAGAAGATAATTATAGTAGAAGAGAAATTCGACTTCTGTTTGTTTCCAAAGCTAAATCAAAGTGTGGCACGTACTTCAAAACTGAGGTTTAACTAGAGTAAGTTAAGCATACGATTTATAGAAGTCTATTTCATTTAAAATCATTTAAAACACTTTTTTTTATAAAGCTGTAATTGTAAAGCATTGCAACTAACAATATGAATGCAAAAAGTAACCTTGCAGAAATAGGGCTTCTTGTTGTACGTGGAAACAAGAATTCCTAAAGAGAACTGAGAAACACGCATTCCCAATGACAACAGAGAAACATGCATTCCAATAAGAACATAGGAACACGCATTCCCAATGAGAACAGAGAAACAGGCATTCCAATAAGAACAGTGAAACACGCATTCCCTTCCCAATGAGAACAGAGAAACACGCATTCCCAATGAGAACTGAGAAACACGAATTCCCAATGAGAACTGAGAAACACGCATTCCCAATGAGAACAGAGAAACACGAATTCCCAATGAGAACTGACAAACACGCATTCCCAATGACAACAGAGAAACATGCATTCCAATAAGAACATAGAAACACGCATTCCCTTCCCAATGAGAACAGAGAAACACGAATTCTCAATGAGAACAGAGAAACACGCATCCCAATGAAAACAGAGAAACACGCATCCCAATGAGAACAGTGAAACACACATTCCAATGAAAACAGAGAAACATGCATCCCAATGAGAACAGTGAAACACGAATTCCCAATGAGAACAGAGAAACATGCATCCCAATGAGAACAGAGAAACATGTATCCCAATGAGAACAGAGAAATACGCATCCCAATGAGAACAGTGAAACACGCATCCCAATGACAACTGAGAAACAGGAATTCCTAAAGAGAACAGAGAAACACGCATCCCAATAAGAACAGAGAAACATGCATCCCAATGAGAACAGAGAAACATGTATCCCAATGAGAACAGAGAAACACGCATCCCAATGAGAACAGTGAAACACACATTCCAATGAAAACAGAGAAACATGCATCCCAATGACAACAGAGAAACACGCATTCCTAATGAGAACAGAGAAACACGCATTCCCAATGAGAACAGAGAAACACGCATCCCAATGAGAACAGAGAAACATGCATCCCAATGAGAACAGAGAAACACGCATTCCCAATGAGAACAGAGAAACACGCATCCCAATGAGAACAGCGAAACATGCATCCCAATGAGAACAGAGAAACATGTATCCCAATGAGAACAGAGAAATACGCATCCCAATGAGAACAATGAAACACGCATCCCAATAAAACAGAGAAACACGCATTCCCAATGAAAACAGAACAGAGAAACACGAATCCCAATGAGAACAGAAAAACACGCATCCCAATGAGAACAGTGAAACACACATTCCTATGAAAACAGAGAAACATGCATCCCAATAAGAACAGTGAAACACGCATCCCAATGAGAACAGAGAAACACGCATTCCCAATGAGAACAGAGAAACACGCATTCCCAATGAGAACAGAGAAACACGCATTCCCAATGACAACAGAGAAACACGGATTCCCAATGAGAACAGAGAAACATGCATCCCAATGAGAACAGAGAAACATGTATCCCAATGAGAACAGAGAAATACGCATCCCAATGAGAACAGTGAAACACGCATCCCAATGACAACTGAGAAACAGGAATTCCTAAAGAGAACAGAGAAACACGCATCCCAATAAGAACAGAGAAATATGCATCCCAATAAGAATAGAGAAACATGTATCCCAATGAGAACAGAGAAACACGCATCCCAATGAGAACAGTGAAACACACATTCCAATGAAAACAGAGAAACGTGCATTCCTAATGAGAACAGAGAAACACGCATTCCCAATGAGAACAGAGAAACACGCATCTCAATGAGAACAGAGAAACATGCATCCCAATGAGAACAGAGAAACACGCATTCCCAATGAGAACAGAGAAACACGCATCCCAATGAGAACAGAGAAACATGCATCCCAATGAGAACAGAGAAACATGTATCCCAATGAGAACAGTGAAACACGCATCCCAATAAAACAGAGAAACACGCATTCCCAATGAAAACAGAACAGAGAAACACGCATCCCAATGAGAACAGAAACATGCATCCCAATGAGAACAGAGAAACACGCATTCCCAATGAGAACAGAGAAACACGCATTCCCAATGAGAACAGTGAAACACGCATTCCCAATGAGAACAGAGAAACATGCATCCCAATGAGAACAGAGAAACACATATTCCCAATGAGAACAGAGAAACACACATTCCCAATTAGAACAGATAAACATGCATCCCAATGAGAACAGTGAAACACGCATTCCAATAAGAACAGAGAAACACTCAAGCACACATGCTATTTTTAAAAAATAAACTATTTTTTTGCTTGTTTTAGACGCTGCTTCCGGATCCTCCATCGACTGGGCGCTCGCTCGTAAGCCCAACATCTACGCAGCAGCGTACGAGCTTCGTCCCTCTGCTAGCAGCTCCACCGGCTTCCTACTGCCTGCTTCTCAGATCGACGCCACTGGGGAAGAACTCTTTGAGAGCCTGAAAGTCATGTCCAGAGAGACAGTTGTGTAGGCATCATCCGGTGCTGTTCTTCGTTTTAGTCTTTCCGTTTTTCCTTTATAAATTGTTGATTTAAATTAGCTTAATGTGTTGATAAATAGTCGTATACTTCATGTTATGCCTTTTATTTTTTCTTTGGTGTCAGCATTGACCTGATCGATGTCAGAAAGTCATCGCTAGGTTACACTTTGCTTATTCTAGTTATTTTTCATCCTCTATTTCACTGTAACAAATTTTCTTCTTGTGTTTATACCGTAAGTTTCTATGATCGATATTCTTGTGATAACAAATGAAATAATAAACTCAATTTTCTTCTAATTGTTTTTTAAATTTTTTTAGCGGCCCCCCGTAAGGGGAAAAAGCCGCTATTAGGTTTGTGCAAAATGTCCGTCTGTCTGTCTGTCCGTCGGTCACACTCAGATCTCGAAAACTAGAAGAGATATGAAAAATATTATTTCATCATTAAATCCGGCTTGAAAAGTTTAGGTGCAACGGCTACTTATGGTTTTCTAAAAGCACACCGTTTACTTTATAAAATTAATTAGGCAAGCGATTTTTTCATAAAAAAACACCAATTCTAAAACAATTAAGTAAATGTAAGGGAGGCAATGTTACAATATGCTAACAAAGATGAATAATTTTTGTGTATTTTCAGTATCAGTCAAATATATTTATAAAATGTACAGGAAATGTTTACAACCAATATAAATAATACTTAAAAGAAAACATTTCTGTTTGTTTATAAAGGCTAATAATGCACTTTGTATGTAAATATCATGCACATTTTTTAAAATGGACTTTTTAAGCAGCGACTTTCGTGCAGTAGCATTTATTTTTTTGTCCAGTGTCCCCATCCGAATAAAAGAAGCTTATTTTTGTGCGTTTTGTCTGTTGGTCGGTCTGTCCGTCTCGATTAGATTAACAAATAACACTAGAGGCTATTGTAAATCTGATTTTACCTTTAATTTTTCATTCAGAAATATTGCAATAGTTTAAAGTATCTATGATAGATTGTTCCGGATGTTTTGTGAAAAACAAATCAATGCCAATGAATATTTGTTTGCTCTTCTAAGTTATAGTAGATTTTATTTCCATGAAACACATGATCTTTAATATATTGTTCCGGTTTTTTAATGTAAATAGCATATAAATGCTAAATAAAAATATCTATACTGATTTATATTTCATTGTTCCGGATATTGTTTTATAAAAAACAATTGTATGTCAAATAATTTTTTTTTTCAAAAATATCGACAATAGGTTATTCAGGATTTTAAAATAAGAAAGTAATTTACTAGAAACGATTATTGAAAATACATTTTTAGACTTATTTTATAATTAATTTTCTTGCCGAAACATAATAAAAGTTGTTTAATCGGTAAAGAATTTTTCGGATTTTGTTTCGAAAAAGAAATCGACCTACATTACCTTAATTTTCTTACAAATCGTCGCCAAAAATTATCCGAATTTTATATTTAATTTAATAACGCTAATAAATGTTTGAAATCCCTCTTCTAATAAATAAAACAAATAATTTTCTCATTTACGAAAATTGGTTTTTCCGGATTTTTTATGAAAAATAGTTTAACTCTATTTATGTAAAATCGCACTTCTCTCGTACACTAAATTTAACTTTCTATCTAAAACGTTAAAAAATCTAATCATTAATATTATGTTCTGATTTTTAAGGAAAACAACTTCTTAACACCAAAGTATGGTTTGATAAAATCTCCATAAGGGTATGGTACATCTGATTTTCATAACAGACCATCCCAGAAATTTAATTAATTAATTTAAGGGCATTTGGTAAATCTGGAATTCTTTTTTTTTTCTCACTATAAATATATAAACAGCTGGAACAATCTATAATAGAAATTTAAAACTAATGCGATGTTTCGGAAAAGAATTTAATTTTAATCAGATTTTCAATAGCATTTAGTCTTTTTTTTTCTCGCTATTAACATAACGGACAGACAAACTTATTAAGCCTCGTAATGTGACTCGCATTTTAAAAAGACATAATAGATTTAGATCTAATCTAGATTTTTTACACTAGATCTAGATTTTTTTTTACACTAGAGCTAGATTTTTTACACTGGATCTAGATTTTTTTCTTACACTAGAGCTAGATTTTTAAAACTAGATTTAGATTTAAGTTCTAATTAAAATCATTATAGAATCTAAATCTAGAATTTCTTGGTCTAGTTTAGAATGTTTGTTGTTTTACATGTTTCGAATGTTCCTTCAGAGTTGTAGTCCAAACCTCCCGTAGGACGACGGGGGATGGGAGCGGGCAGGTTTTGAACATGGGACCATCGATGAATTCAAACGATAGTCCAGCGCGCAAACCGCACTACCAGACAGCCATGATTTAGATTAGATCAAGATCTATAATTTTAATTTCTAGGCTTAAAGTGTAGATTTTTTTCTAAAGTCTAGATTGTCAATATGTCAATATTGCAATGTTATAAAATACTAAAACTAATCTACTATTTTAATATTTAGATTTGCAATTAGTCTATTAATTGATTATCTAGTGTTTTTTTTTTATATAAATCTTATCTATATTACATCTACATTATCCCAAATATATATTTTAGATCTAGATCTAGTAGATATAGATATTGAGAGTGCTAAATTTGTAGCTTAATTTAGGTAGATCTACATCCTCATTCTAGTTCCATTTAGGTCTAAATGAAAATGCTCAATACCAAAAGATTATCTAAAATCGCTCTTCTGACATATTGTCATTCCGTAATGTGTAGGTATATTATCAATAGTAGGCTTTTAGTTTGTAACCAGTTTGTCATTAGATTAAGAGCAATGCCTGGTCGTGCGGTTAGCGCGCAGAACTGATCTCGGTTTCATACCCTGCTCGATGCCATCCTCAGTCGACCAGCGAATATGCGGATCGGACAGTGATCCGTCTCCCATGGTGGCCGCCTCTGATAATCTTGTTTATAATCTTGTTTATGATGTATTTGTGTTCAAGAAGCTTTAATATTAGAGATGTTCATCTGTGGCAGAAAACAACAAATAGTTGCCTTTTGGTGTATCCGGTGTACAGAATAAAAAATAGTGTTGTTTAAGTTTTATTATAATTCTTGTGTATTTTTTGTCTCTCCAGTATCAAATTTGATAGCTTTTACCGTTTGTAGCTCCTTAACATTGCTAAGTTTATCGTGAAAATTACTGTCAGTTATCCGAAAAATACAGCTCTTTTTCTGCTATATAAAACAAGATTAATTAGTATTAAATGATTACAAAATTTGGTTTTTAAAGCATTCTTTTTTCTATTGCTTTTTTAGCGGCCCCGGATAGGGGAAAAGACGCTATTAGTTTTGTGTGGCCTGTCTGTCCGTCCATCTTCCCGTCCGCCCCGTTTAGATCTCAGAAACTAGAAGAGAAAATGAAAATCTGACATCACGATCTTTTAGAATTAGATCATTCAAATTTCTGATGCAACGGCTACATTTTTCTTTTCCGAAAGTGAACCATCTAATTTTTTTAATTATATATATAAGCAGATTTTTCAAAAAAATTACACCACTTTTCAATGAAAAACTTTAGCGAAATAAGTCTAATTAAAAAGTTCACAAACTTCTTCATTAATAAATCAAGCTTCATTCATAGATTCGCGCATTGGTAAAAAAAAAATGCATCTAAGGTCACGATTGAAAAAGTATCAATGGATCATTATAAAATAGATTTTCCATTTATTAACCAACACATCTTATCTTCTTATCTTATATAATACAGACGTTACTTAAAAAAAGAAGATGATTACGTCCTACGCGTCATGCATTAAGTCATGCATATTAATCAATGACTTAAATTCTGCCAAGTCACTGGTTTTCCTAGCTAGCTCAGGCAACCCATTCCATGCTTTAATAGCACTAGGGAAGAAGGAGTATTTGTACAAATTTGTCCTAGCATATGGGACGAGGAATGTGCCTTTATCTTTGTGTCTTTTAGAGTATTTTATTAAATTTTATTTTTGTATTTGAAGATTATGGTTCAGTGTTTTATGTATAATTGCTACTTTACTTTTGAGTCTTCTGTCCTGAAGGTTTTCTAAATTTAGTGATTTTACTATAGGTGTTACTCTAGTCAAATGTGAATATTCATTTGTTATGAATCTCACTGCTCTATTTAGTGTCTGTTCCAGTTTCTTAATGTTTTCTTGAGTTGAGGGGCTGCCTGGTCGTGCGGTTTGCACGCTGGACTGTCGTTCGGATTTATCGATGGTCCCGGGTTCAAACCCTGCCCGCTCCCATCCCCCGTCGTCCTGCGGGAGGTTTGGACTAGGAAGTAAACTATCTTCAACTCTGAAGGAACATCCGAAACATGTAAAACATTTTACAAACAAACAAACGGAGGATGCATATTCTATTATTGGCCTAACCAAGGTTAAATAACATTTTAGTTTTATTTTCTTATTTGATTTATAGAAATTTCTTTTAATAAATCCTAATGCTTTGTTTGATTTTTTTATAGTTGATTGACATGGAATAGAACACTGATTCAAAAGTTGTTTTTAAAAAAGAATTTTAATACGAACTTCGTTTCAAGTGTAAGTTTTAAAAAAATATACATTTATACCGCACAGTTTTCACACATCCTCATTAGGCTGTACACTTGACAAAATCTGAATTACAATAAATAGAGGCCAGATCTACATAGATCTATATTTATAATACGAGATCTAGACTAGATATAGTAGATTCTATATCAAAATTCTATATCTAGATCTAGACTTAGAAACTGAGATCTAGATCTAGACTTAGACTTGGATCTATTTCTAGATCTAGGTTTAGACTTAGATCTTGAATCTAGATTTAGATCTAAAACTAGGTCTAGATCTAGCTAGATCAATGCCTAGTTTGTGTGACAAATGACGATGGAGATATTAATTTTTATTTGCGAGGGGAAAGTCTTGTCATCTGTTCACGATTGTAGCTTAAAGAAGTTCAAGAATTTTATTTTTTGTTCGTGTTGCCTATTTATCTGATTTTGTTAGAAGAATATCTTATCTTATCTTATATAATACAGACGTTACTTCAAAAAAGAAGATGATTACGTCCTACGCGTCATGCATTTAGTCATGCATATTAACCAATGACTTAAATTCTGCCAAGTCATTGGTTTTCCTGGCTAGCTCAGGCAACCCATTCCATGCTCTAATAGCACTAGGGAAGAAGGAGTATTTGTACAAATTTGTCCTAGCATATGGGACGAGGAATGTGCCTTTATTTTTGTGTCTATAAATCTTTTAGTTTCTCTTTATTACATTGTAACATGTTATTAATTTTGAATGG